GGGTAGGTGGGGGGTGGGTGCATTGGGGAGGGGGAGAGGGGTGCCTGCGTGCTCTGGTGCACCAGACATGAGACAGGCCAGAAAACCACACTATGGACAAAGCTGACATCACCAGCTATTGCCACGGCGGGGTAGTACAGGTTCCCCTTACGTTTTTATTTAATAGGAGCAAATAACAGTTTTCACAAATTATGTGTTTATTGTAATGTTATAAAATACAATCCCCTAATCAATGTCCATTGGCTCCTCCACATCACAGCTGGTTGGCTCGTTCTGGGGCTCCGACGGGTCACTGGATCTTTGACCCCCTGCTGCTACACAGAGTTCTACAGAAAAACCTCCCCCGGGCAGGAGGAAGATGATTATGTGCAGGGAGAATGAAGCATGGAAGAAATCTGCAATTGGAGCACAATGATACAGTCAGGTGACAGCTCCTAGAGGTGTTGCGACTTAAGGATGTTAAGAAGGAGGTAATTGACTAATCTATAATTTGTACCAAGAACACAAGTAATCAATAAAGATCCCCGCTGCAGCTCTGCAGTTTAAAAGCAGTAGGAGACCAGTGTGCAAGGTTTATTCATTGGCAGGGCCACAGAGTAGTTCAGACTAGTTGCAGGAACCAGGAGCAATTAGTACCATCCATTTTGGGGATGGAGAACCCAGAGCCCCAGCTCTGGGCCGCTGCCCTGGCCCCCCAGGGCAGTGAGGCTCCCTTTTCCCTCAGCCAGCTGAAAGCTAAACTCTCACTCCCAGGCACTGAGCCCAGCCCCCAGGCAGCCCCTCCTCCTACTTTGTTCTGCTTCCATGTTACCTGCTGTAATGGCCCTCAGGCTGGGAGAGACTGAACATACTTCCTCAGTGAGTCATGCCCAGCCCTCCCCTCCTCATGCAGCTAGTGTTGCAGTGCCCAGGGAAACTGAGGCCCACACAGACACAGAGTTACCCCAGAGCTGCACAGTAGTATCATGTAGAGCACAACAGAGTGAATACAAATCCGAGTGAATCCTGGGACTCCCGGCATCAACAGAGGCCCCCACTACATCACAGAACGTGGGCAAGGACATCTGGCAGGGACACTTTTCAAGAACCAAGTCTCATAACTGTATCAAGTGTCACAATGTAAACAGAGCCCTAAGTTCCTCTTCATCCCAAACTGTAGCACCCACCCCCAATTACTATCCCAGCCTGGGGCTTTTGCACTGCAAAGGGCAAAGCCAAGTTGTTGAGAAAAAAAAGTTGCAGACCCTTTAACAGCTGTGCATGGTGCAGCCAGGCTTCTGGTGGCCGCTTCACACACAGCCGGAAGGAGAAAAATGTAGGGATGGAATAGTGTAGTCAATTAACCAATAAACAAAAGTGTATAGATGAATGCTATAGACTACATGCATTTCCCCCCCCACACACACCTGCCAGTACAATTAGCAGCAGGCTGGCCAACAGCCCAGCCTCGTGCTGAGTCCAAGACCTAGCCCCACTGTGGCTCTGCATTTAAAGTGTATTAGGAGCCAAGCAGGCAGGTTCAGTTCCGGCTCATGCCGCATCTGGGATAGAATCAAAGCTGGAAGAGAACTCAGGAAGTCATCAAGTCCAGCCCCTGCCCAAGACAGGACCAATCCCAACAGGAGCTGCTGCCATCCTGTGCTATTGCCTCTGTATCAGGGGTGACAGGCAGCCAGTCCACGAGGAGAGCTGGTTTTTAAACTGGCTCCCCTCGCGGAACTGCTCTCACCTGGGAACCCACGTTGCTGCCTCTGATACAGAAGCAGCAACATTGAGTGGCAAGGGACTCCTCAGGAGTGGGACCGGAGCACATTGACTTCTGGCCCCACCCCGGGGACTATAGAATAGTCAACTAACCGATAAGAATTCATGGGATTAATCAACTATTGAATTAACCCATATTTAACATCCCTAGTGCCATGCAGACATGCCAAATCTCAGAAAAGCCTCTTTCGAAATTGCGGTTTGCAATTTGCATATCTTTTTCCAACTTTTCTTTGTAGACTAGACGTAGCCTAAGGTGCTGCAGAACTACTCGTCGTTATTTACATTTTTTTCAGTTACAGACTAACACTGCTACCCCCTGAGTTGTTTTCAAAATCTTTTGTATTGGTGACCCCATTCACATAAGCAACCCTCTGAGTTGCTTTTACAAATGGAGGAGGAGAGTAATCCAAATTAATGGGGACTCAGGGCTGTCAGCCTCATGGAGCTGACAGCTCAAGATGCCCATGTAACCACCATGTGATCCCTTGAGGGTCATGACCCCAGTATGAGAACCCCTGATATAGAAGGTGGCGTAATATTAGTGGTGCCATGCACCCTCACTGCCACTGACAAGTGGGAGCCCATCTGCTCAATACCATTGAAAAAGCAAGCAAGCTATCTGGGAGCCTTAAGTTAGGGGCACGCGTAGGAAAATTTTGGCCTCGGTCTTTACCATTGGCTTTTATAACCTTTCCTCCAAAGAAAAGAACAAAAATAAGGAGTATTGTTCCCACTGCAGCTTCAGATTCTACCACATGTAGTATACAGTGTGGCCATAATCACAGCCTCAAGAAATCAATATACATTTCAGCTTAGGTTCCTTCCCTAGTCTTTAACTTATATGGAGCATAAGTGAAATGCCTTCAGTGAGTACTTTTCATATCATGCCAGCTGGGTAGCACACGGGACGAGTGTCATACGACTACTTGCTGGTAAGGGAGGCGTGCACACGGTTTTACAGCAGGAAAGTTTGCAACTTTGACATTAACCCAACTGCAAATTAGCCTTGCCCAGGAGGATCAGAATATATAAAAGGAATCATGTCCCACGCTACATGTCTGTTTCAGTAAGGGATATTTTGAGACAGGCAACATTGTTATCCTAGCCCAACAGACGGCCTATGTCTCAAGGAGAAATAGTAGAGCCCTTTCATTACCAGGCTGACCCCTGGACATTAGACTGTCATGAGCTTTACATTCTCTGCAAATGAAGAATTAACATAACCCTCCTTGATGCTAATCCCCAACTACCAGCTAGAGACCATTGGATAATATGGTGTGGAAAACAATGGGAAATTCAAAAGCAAGTGGACCAGACTGATCCAGTAGCTTAGTTGTAGAGTGCTGTGCAAAAATCACATGGAAGACCAGGATCTGTTTCCTGGTCAATTACTCCCATGCTAGGTGTGCTACAGCGATAGCTCACTAAATCCCTACAGAAGGGACAATTCCCTAGAATCACTCAATGGCAATTCCTCAAAATGATCAGGGAACCACAGTGACCCACTCATCCCTCCATGATTCAGCATATGGCAGTATGGGACCGCAAACCATTCTTTTTTAAGCAACAGTTGCAATAAATGACACACAAACAACCTGGGGTATTCTCAGGGCTCTGAGAGCACCACTAGAAAACAGGATTATATTAATTTCTCCCAAGTAAAAGGCTAATCAAGGAACAATTTTCCTAATGATGTTCATGGGAGCAGAAAACAGCTTGAATAAATGCAAGTTAATAATAAAGAGGTTCCCAGGAACTGCAAAATTTCCAACACTGCACATCAAAATGTCATGAGAGTCCAGACGAGGGCTCTGGGCAGATGTATTTTTGAGAGCCTTGCTCAGCAGCAGCAAGGTAAAGGCCAGGAAGCAATCTGACTCATGCTGCATCTTGGCTGGAGAACAGGAGGAAGGGGACCTATAAATTCTGAACATCAGCAATAAGTGGAGCACAAAGATTTTCAGCACAATTTCACTCACTGTGTATTCTGCATGTTTTTTCCCATACCATTTCATCCACTTTCTGAACTCTCTGTCCATCGTCTAGAAGAGGGAGGGAAAACAAAACCACCCATTAGGAATCTCGCGATACCAGTCGCAGGACAGTGAGAGGAGAAGAGGCAACTCTGACAAAACTCTAGCAGTTCTTTCCATTAGCACCTTAACTGGACTGCGAAAAAATCATGTAGGCATACTGAAATTCTATTCTTTTAGTTCCTTACTGGGGACAAAGTCGGACTTATTCTCTGCTTTCCCCTCCAGAGAAGCCTTAAAGACACTTAGAATTGACATTGCTCAGTAGTCTGCCAAGGATGGTGCAACTGTTGCTGTTGTGCTACATAATCCCAGAGCAAGCAGGAGGCAGTGAACATAATCCTATGGGAGCCTAGATAGTGAAGAGGAGAGGTAAAGACAGTCTAATTAAGGTTAACAAGAAAGCATAAATAGGAATGCTTCGTCCCATTGCTATTGCAGTTGCCTTGCAACACACTGCGGGAGAATGTGTCAATCTATGACTCGAGAGACTACAGTTGCATAGGCTGACATGGCACCTGTAGTTCAAAGTTGGCAGTGGGTTTCCATTGCCAGAGAGGAGAAAGGAGCTGAAAATCCTTCACATCCCAACAGTCTGGGGTGAATGACAAGCAGCACCATTATTCTTTTCCTATAGACTATGGAAAGTGCTATTCTCTGCTATGGCAGTGAGGGTCAGTTATACTGGTTCATTCCCATTTAAAACCAAAATGGATGTGTACTGAAATTGTGAGTTTCTCACTCTTCCAAGACCTGCTGTAAATGCAAAATATAGATCCAGAGCTCAGACTGGGAGGAAAGAAATGGCATTCAGGTTTCATCCACCATCTGAAACTCCATTCAGACACAGATCAGCTGGAGGTTTCTGATGTTATGTCAGCTGAGACACATTTTTGCTGACATCTGAATGCCCATTAGGCTTCAGAGTTAACACCAGGCACTCCGCACCACTCAAATACTGTTTCCATTTCCACAGTCAAAGAAACACTGAACTGTCAGTAAACATTTTGGAAGTTTCAAAACTATAGACTGGAAATTTAGTTTCCCCTCCCACGATTTAAGTGAAAGCTTAAAAACTGTATAAAAGTGAATCAACGGCCATTTGTAAGTGCTGGAACATCATGGTATACTTTGTTTACCTGGTAAAGTAATAAAACATTTGACACAACAACATCAGGATTAGTACTCCTAACAATTTATATTCTATTCATGCTGTTGTAAAAAAAAAAATTAGTTCTTTACAGCCTGCTTGTCATTTACATGATTGCCCCTTCACACTGCTAGAGTGGCATAAAAGGGGCTTAATATAAATAAAACTCTGGCCTTTTAAGTATTTTCTTTCACAAATCAGTGGTTTTTAAATAGTGATTACTACTAAAGAGCCAGGAACTTAGCCTTCCTGAGCTGCTCTAAAATGAGTCAGAACACTCATGCAAGGAGATGAGGGAGAAAGATTTGGTAAAAGTATTCCAACTCAAAATTTCTAACGAATTACTATGAAAAGTAAAGACAACTTACTTCCTAGGCCCTTCTATGGCACTCATGATGGCATCAGAGCCTTTTACCTATATCTTCGAAAAGTAAGCTCAAAAGCTATTTGTGCATTCTTTAAGCTAAAGTTTGTGTGTGGAAAAAAAACAAAGTCCATTAGTTTGGACAAGTTAAAGGTGTGAAGCTCTGTGCAACTTACTGGAGGAAGTACAGAATTCTTACTGCAACTTGACCAACTGTTATTGTTTGCTTGCAACTCATTTGGATTCCATGTTTCCCTTGGAATTGCTGAACTTTGCATGTCCCCATAGACACAGAATTAATGGAAGTGTAAAGAAAACTGCTTGCCTAAGTACAAGAGCCTTATTATGAAATTTTGTTGTATTCACTTCTTTGGGTGCATACTGAGCACTGCTATTCGATAGGCCTCAGTAACTCCGCAGCTAACATTTTTAATATCTAAACTCAATGGTTTTAAGAGTTGGGGCTGCTAAGGGGCATTCTTAGCATGATCTGTATTACAAAACTTTTTTTAAAAAATTAGGCATTCCGATAGCTCTCTCCCAATGCTCTGACTTTTCCCAACTTCTTCCTAGGGGCGTTCAAGCTTACACAGCACTAGCCTCTGTGACACAGTCCTTTCAAAGTCCCATTCCAAACAGCAGATACTAATTAGGGTCCTGAAATCCACAGCTTAGGCAGTACGGTGTCTAGGTTCAACATGCATCTTCCCTTTTGACTTTTGTTCCCTTTTTATAAGCTTCCTATCCCCAGTTACACAGCCTCACACTGCCTAGTTCTTTTTCAGGCCTTAACTAAGCTCTCTTCAGAGACCAGTTAATGGATGTTTCTGATCACTCAGAGAGCATGGCCTATAAGGAACAGGAAGCACTTAATCCTCCTCATTTTTATCACTGCTGTGTTTCCAGTCCTTACTGACTTAAGGAGCCAGAGTGTCTAGGATTCACACTCAGGTTTCCTGCTTTCTAATGCATAACAATTACCCGCAAGACATAAGGCACTGAGCCAGCCCTGGAATCAAAAACCTACAAACTCACCTCAGCATATTTGGCTGGAATATCAGCTTTCTCCACACCATAGTGATGTTTGCAGTTTGTGGCAGCAGCAACTTGAAGCACCACCTGACCCACACCTGAAAGTAGAGGTGCACACAGTTATAATACAAAGCTCCCCCATACACAGGAAACTGCTTCTAAAACAAAGGCCAAGATGTAAGCAAGAGGGATTCCTAGCTGTGCAGAATGGTTCCCATGTCCCTGCACAACATCTGTGTAATCCACACTTTTTGGGCAGTGAATATTCTCTCACTTTTTGTCTTGCCTACTCATGCTAAGCTCTTCGGGCATTCTATAAGAATGCACAGTACCTAGCACAATAGGCACTCCCATAATATACATATTGTGGCACATTGAAGTTGGAACTGTTCTTTGTAATGTAAATTGTCATACATTTAACAAAGTCAATACCAGAGCCTATTTATCATTAAAAAGACTTGCGTCCTATGGAACGGAAATAGATGCATTTTGTTTCCACCAGAAAACCAAACAGCAGCTAAATTAATTTTGCAATTTAAATCTGCCGATATAATGGAGAAAGCTATAACAAAACATTTATAGCTCATTTTCATCATGATGAAAAATGCACATAGAAGTCTCAGCACATGGAAAAAGACAAGAGCATAACTTCCTAGTACAATAAAAAAAAAGATAATGTTCAATAGGTAAAGTAATTTTAGAAGCAACTGCTAAACTGCCAGAATAAACATTACAGCCGCTCCCCGAGTTGCCAACAGTCGAATTACGACCGTTTGCACTTACGACCAAAGCTCCCATGGAGCGGTCGTAAAGGCGGGCCCCGAGTTACAAACACGACTTGCGCTTACGAACAGCGCGATCACGCGTAACTCAATGGGGTCCGAGTTACGAACAGATCAAGTTACGGCCAAGTGTTTGGTCCGTAACTCGGAGAGAGGCTGTACTTAAAAAGGTATGAACTGTCCATCACTCAGTCCCAATTAGTCTGCAGTAGAGACTTCTCCAGCAGTAATTAGCTGCCATTCCCACACCTTACATCTCTTTGGCTTATGTGAAAAAAGAAAAATCACAACTAAACTTCTGTTTGCATACATGACCCAGATTTTGCCAAATACAAGGTAAATCTTTCCTAGCTGTCACTCTACATTTCTTATTGCAATTGATTACAACTGCGGATCAAATCATTTCTAGATTCATTCTAATACAAAGTTTTACACCATTTGTACTGGACTAATGTAAAATGCATTGTCTCACTAATGCACTTCTCGTAGAATCATAGAGGATTCTTCAGGGAACAGAAATGTTCAAGCCACCCAGAGAGCACATTTACACAGAAAGCACATTGTCGTTTTCCATTTCATCAGTTGACTGCAAGAAATAGCACTAAAAATTGAGGAGGCGGTTCTCTTGCCATTAAATCAGTATTGATTCAATACTCACTTTGGTGTAATGAGGCACCACAAGGCTGACAATCCCGTGTAATAAATGTTTGTATTATGGTAGCACCAAGAGGCCCCCCTCTCCTTTTGCTAAATACCGTATACACTAGTGACATGTGGAGGAGGTTTAAGACTCCACATGCCCCCCTCTATAGTGGGCAGGAGGGGCAAGGGTCAAGAGCCTCCAGGCACACCAGGGGCCTGCCTGCAAACCCTGGTGACTGCAGCAGGAGCCACGGGGACGAGTGGAGAAACATGACTCCACTTGTTGGCTGCCAGCAAATCACTAGGGGAAGGAGAAGGCTGGTACTCACCAGTGGGAAGCGGAGCAACACAGCTAGCAGTTGGGAAGCAAAGCCACATCACTTTGCTTCCCCCTGCAGATGGGTGCACAAAGGGGGGCCTTGCTAGGAGTGCCCGCAGAAGTGTTAGAAGAAATTACTGCCTCTCTCTCTCTCTTCAGGGACCACTTGTGGTTAAAAAGACGATGCCATTTGCAACAGTTGTTCTAATTCCAAGTTGCATAACTATGGCCACGTCTAGACTACGGAGATCAACTCTGCAGCAATTGATCTGGCATTTGATTTAGTGGGTCTAGTAAAGACCCACTAAATCGAACACTGATGGTACCCTCGGAGATGCCAGAACTACTCCTCCTCGCGAGGAGTAAGGGACATTGATGGAACTGTTTCTCCTGTTGACCTCCCACTGGGAGGACAGCACCAAATCTTGACTTAAGATACAGCAACTCCAGCCCTGTTTTTATGTAGCTGGAATTGCATACCGTAAGCCGACCTTCAGCTATAGTGTAGACCTAGCCTAAGTTCTGCCTTCTTAAAATTCCATTTGCAGGGTCAACTGCACATGGTACTGCTGACTTCTAGTCTTAAATGGTTGGACATAGTTACGTGATAAAAAATGGCTGCAACATTTCACCATTGGTTGTTACACTCCAGGCAGATGAATGATTCCTATACACAGAAGTGAAGTAAAGGCACTAAAGTTTTTGAATACTGTGCAATTGCTATAATGGTACTCTAATTTACACTGTACACTACACTGCATTGACTAGAATACTATGGAAATTTAGTCTCAATTTTACTATCGACATGCAAACCGCTGTGAAGGGAGGAGAAATCACAATCCTATATTTCAGTATCAACCAACTGAAAAACCAATGCACATAAAATTAACCACAGCATTAAGGCTGAGGCTATTGAATGCTAAACTATTATTTTCAGATGCTTGTAAAAGTTCCTATTTTTCATAGGCTTTGTCTTAGCCCAATATTAATGTCTGGGGATCTTTGGTGATAAATTTCTGGTTTGGGTCATGTAGACACCAAGGAAAACAAAAGTTTTACTCAAAAGTACCAATCAGCTAACACTCTCCCATCTTGTTAAGCAAACAGCAGGACTGTGTAACTTCCAGATATGATCGCTTATGACCTTAGCGAACAAATAACTACACACAATTGTGGTGAAGCAGTTATTTCAGTACAGCAAAGCTCTATAACTGACCAGAGTATTTTAGAAGAATCTCATATTCATAAAATCATAGAACTGGAAGAGACCTCAGAAGGTCATCAAGTCCAGCCCCCTGCTCTAGGCAGGACCAATTCCAACTAAATCAACCCGGCCAGGGCTTTGTCAAGCTGAGACTTAAACACCTCTAGGTGTTTATATTGTACTTAACTATCCATATAAAATATATGGACCTGAGGGGGCAAGATTTTAAAATCAATTCTGTCCCCTGTGACTGACCTGCTTTAACAACCTTAACTTAAAATTTCATTTAGTAAATGAATACGGAAGTTGTTGGTAATTCTGCTGTATTTTCACTGGGCAGAATCCCCTTCCCTTTAGTAAGATAAGGGATGGCTGTTGAAAAAGCAAGGGGACACACACACTATTTATTTCAACCCAAGACTATTCTACATTAAAAGGAGGAATTCTCATTGCTCCTTTCCTGCTGGAAATGAGATGTGAGCAACTAACAAGACCACCATCTTATTCGACTTATCGCTTTCACATGTTTGAGTCACATCTGGTTGCATCACTGATCAAAATTTTTACTTTTGTTAAAACTGCTAACTTTAGCATAGATGGAGCTATGGAAGTGAGAGCTGGATTTAATATGGCCTCACAATAAAATATAAAACATTTATTGCTGATGATTGGGTCAGACACAGAAAAGAACCTACTTGCCTTTCAGGCAACACATGGCATTTGCACATCTGACACTAGGGGAAAAAAGGTATGACGCATGAAATGAACAAACTGAGTCCAGAAACCAGTTTGGATATGGACTCTGGTAATAGGACTTGTACACAGACATTTCTGACGCCAACCATATTTTAAAATGAGTACATTTATGCATGGTGTGAAAAATGGAGTATTCTTAAATTAAGTTTCCTGATGAATTAATCCTTTCTTCACAACATTATGGGGAGGTAACATATTTAATCCCACTGCTAACATAGGAAGGAAAGCACTGATCTGTCAGGAGTGCACAGCAAGATGCACATTCTGTGGAGATGGGTTACTTTCCTAATATAAAGTTACTGATTTTATTATTATTATTATTATTAGGAGGAAAAAGCCTGGGCAGGGACAGAAAAGGAAAAACAAAGCAATTTGTCACTTACCACTGCCCAAGTCAACAAACAAGTCATCCTCAGTCATTTTAATCTCATCAATCATTTGGGCCACTAAATCAAATGAAGTCTCTCCATACACCTCTGGGGAAAAGGGCTCATAGTTGTTGAGTTTCTCTGGGTCAGTCACCGAGTGGTTATATACTTGCTGCAAGATGTGACGGAGGAGCCCATTGGAGGGACGAGTGTTCAGTTTCATGGGCTGGGTAGTTCCTTTCCACTAAGAGTGGGGAGCAGGAAGAGAATGTAAAAATCAATCAATCATGACATACCTGAACTTGTGGGGTGGGGGGGGGAGGAAAACTGGCACAAAGATAATCCTCTTTCCTCCATCTCTCTTCTTGCATGAGTAAAACTGATCTAACAGTTCTTCCATAAGCAGTAGCAAGACATGCTACAGAATTTCTGCAGCAATGCAGCTTGGGGAAGCTGGTTTGTTTTACTGTCCGCATCACCTCACACAATATTTTCTAAGACTGCATACCAACTACACCAGGGAAAAGGTATCTTGGCCGCAGCACCAGGGGAGGGGCTGGAAGAGAACAGCCCCTGGTGGGCAGGAGTACCTGGGTGAGGGAGCAGAGAACAAGCCTCTGGTGGGCAAAAGGGGGCTGGAGGGAAGAAAACATGCCCCAGCCCACAGTCTCTCTCTCTCTCTCACACCCACACACAAACACACCCCAAGGCCCTGTGCCAGGTAAGTCTGCTAGGAGAAGCTATTGATGTTTCTGAACTTCCTCTTATATCTTCCCTCTTTGGATTTTATACATGTCTGTAAGCTTTGTTTCTGGGCAGCTTTTCATCTCCTCTTCCTGTCTAGATTCTCACTTCAGTAAATGCCAAAGAATTCCAACTTTTAAGCTACTAACAAACATGATTAAAGTGGCTGGTATCTATAGATCAGGCAAACAGCACACAGATCTGTAGGTGCCAAAGAAGTGCAAAGTCTGGGAGATGTTCTAAACCAGTGGTCCCCAACGCAGTGCTCGGGCGCTATGGCGCCGGCTGGGCCATTTATGTGCGCCCGCGGAGCAATCTGGCCTGGCCCCGCCCCTGGGCGTGCGGCAGGTGCCAGTCCCGGGCGCATGGGCAGCCCCTGCCGGCCCTGACCTCGGGGGTGCCGTGCGTGCCGCTGCCGGCCACGGCCCCGGGTGCCAGCCGTGGCCCCGAGTGCGCCGCACATGCCGGTGCCGGCTCCGGACGCATGGCGCCTGGGCGGCCCCTGCCCGGGGTCACAGCATATGCCGGTGCCGGCCCCGGCCGTGCGGCACATGCTTGGCCCCGCCCCCAGTCACGTGGCCTGTGAGCAGCCCCCGCATGCCCAGTGCGTGAGCGGTCCCGCCCCCAGGCAGCCCCAAAACGTTGGGGACCACTGTTCTAAACTACTAGCAATATCTTCCTGAAGTGTATACTGAATGCTCCCATAAAATAAACATGTGTCTGATGGGACTTTTTGAAGTATTTTGACCTATAATTGAATTTTTTTATATATAATTGAATATATAGAATACAATATATTATTAAATTGAATACGCGTTAAGTATGGTGACAGATATTACTGAAAGAAGTGTCATGTAAATTCCAGAAATGAAGTCTTAATATTAGATTATACTTGCTATATTCGATTACCGCCTCCCAAACCAGCCTTAAACTTGGGGCAAGAATTCCAAAAAAATTACTTATAATTGAAAATTTATTAAATTAGCTTTCATTCCAGTTCTTCCTTCGCATCCTTTGAACAGACCAGCTCTAAAATATAGCTTTATGAATGGTAAGAAAATTCTTAATCTATGGATCATCGCCACAATACACAAGAGGGTTCAGATAGAACCTTTAAGGAACCTTTATTTAAGGAACCTTTGAGCCTCAATCCCTCCACACATGTAAACACGTATTAAATCCTTGTGAAATTTCTGACAAAAAAAGCTAGATATGGTGCGTGCATAGAAACCCTTTTTCAAAGGTAACAGCTATTTCAAATGTCAAAGCAAGAATGCTAAGTGCACATTAGGGGCTACAAGAGTTTAAATCTGCATTTTAGAAAAATTAAGCCTTTCTTTATATAAAGATATAAATTCACTCTAAAGCTAAATTCTCAAGTGCCAAGTTTTGGCCCAGAAAGCAAGGTTTAACAGATGATTTATTAACTCCTGAATGAATGAAAATGTTGTAATGGCAGTGCCACTGTTTAAGCTAACACACACAACTTAGAGCTTTGGATGTCATTTTTGGTACATGAATTTGAAACCACTAGCTTGAATAAAGCCAGCTAGCTAGGAATCAGGGCCTAACAAAGGTAAATACATACCAACTGATGAATGCTATCAATGGCTCGGTTGTATTTGTCACAAAGCCTCTGCATGCTTTCAAAGCTGTGAAAGGAGAAAAGCAAAATTTGCTAGTAAGTTACCAGTCTAAAGCAGTGTTTCTCAAACTGTGCTCTGCGCAGGGCTCCGCGAGACATCTCCAGGGGCTCCGCAAGGTTGACAAACTGGAAACATCCATAGGTACAACACATACAAATCAGTGGACTGCTGGGGCTCTGCATAAATTATGTATGTAAAGGGCTCTGCAGCCCAAAAAATTTGAGAACCACTGGTCTAAAGAGACTCTTGAAACGCTCAGGTATTTGCAATAAAAGTACCATTGCCAAGGTTGGTAGGCCAACATGTGAACTACATTTAAATGTATATATTGTAGCTGTAATTGGGGAGGGGCGGGCAAAATATTCTCTAAGCAATTTTACACTTTTTATAAAGTTTGCTTAAAGAAGAGACAACAATTCATGAGAAATTCTACGCATGATATCCATGTGATGGAAGAAGAGATCTTTTAAGGAAACTGATTTCAAACATTCAACTTCCAAAGACGTATTGTAATGAATGGGGGAAAATAAGTTATGGAGATACCCTGACACTATCCTACTTTCTCCTTTTTGACCAATCTGGAATTCAAGCTGGACAGTTTCATGGACACTCTTATCTTGCATTTTTGTTTGCATGTCTTTGTTCCTTCCCATGTCCACCGTATCCAGCTATAAAGACAGGCAGACACTTATCCAGAGGTCATTTCTATTCTGTTCTAAAATGCAGTGTGCCATGTAACAGAACTTTCAAAATACAAACTTCATCCACCAGAGTCCTGTTTTAGCAGAGAAGCATACTGCTTGTTCTAGGGTTAGCCGGGTTCACAGGTTAGCCAGGCCCCTTAACTGCAGAAGCTAAGAGGATTACACAATCATTTCAGGTCAAGGAGAGAAGAATTCCTGCCAATTCCCCTGTCAATACAAAAGTACATTCCACACACAGCAGCAAAGGTCATTCCACAGAGTAACTGGAATAACATGCCCCACAGCTACCCCAAGACGGGAAGGGAGGAGGGAAGTTAACCTCTTATGAACTTGACTTCATTACCACAACTAACTAAGACTCCTGATTTGAAAACACTGTGGCTTTGAACGCACTTTGGGCTGCAAATTGACAGGTTTTAATTCCATGGTAATAAAAAAACATGAAACTGAAAAGCATTTTTTTTAAATGCATGCATATTTGCATTTCTGTGCCTATTCTCTGCATTTGTCAGCGCTGCAGCCGATGTTCCATAATAAACTTTTGAAAGAATTATCTCCCCTCCCCCAAGAAAAATAAAATTGATTAAACCATTACTAGAATGACAGGTTTATGGCTTCTTTGAACAGTTTCAGAGAAATAAGCGAGGTGAGGACAAATGGTTTTTTCTCTTATTCAGTATCACTGCTGACAAGTGATGCTGTGTGGTTACATAACCCACCAGCACACCAATACTACACAATTATTGTTTGTTACAACATCAGCATAGAAACTATAGAACTGATGTAAAGAAGTATTGAACACTTACTACTCCCCACTGAATTCTCTGGGTGGTTGAAGGGGCTAGTAGAACAAGACCATATCAAATGAAGGTAACAGAGTAGGCACCAAAGAGCAGTGCTTCTAAGTAGCAAAAGCCATCCAGGTGCTCAAATCGTTAATACTGAATTAGGACATAGTTCAATGTCACCTGTCTCAATGCTATTCAGGAGACATGATCCATTTGTGGACATCAGTGAATGTAGATCTTTTTCCTTAAAAATTTCATGGACTTTCATAAACCACAACTTGGCTGCAGACAAAATGTCATCTCTATTTCCATTCTCAGTGCAGTCAAATTGAGCCAAAAATATACAATCTCTCAAATGTCTCCAAACCAATTTATTACAAACAAAAGAATTCCATAGGGTCAGATTTTGACCCTTCCCATCTTTACTCACAGAGCAGACTGAAACATGTACTAGGCGTTTTCACACAGCTCTGTGAATCAGGCACTACTCCTGCTTCTCCAGAGACAAAGCTGTAGGAATGGTTTGAGTTGAAACTGGTTTTATAGTCACCACTCGTATTTGATTCTCAACAGGAGAGGAGTGGGGAAAGTTAACTTCTCACAAACATGAAGAGAAAAATCAGTGGTGCCAATGGCAGCTCTGGCATAGTGTTTTCCAACAAGAATTCTTAGTTACTACAAAAGCAGAAACTTCAGTGCCATTCAGACTCCTAACACTGGCTCTAGCCCAACAGCACAGATACTGATCATTGTTTCAGGATGAATAATTCCAACGCACCCCAGCTCAGCTTTCTGCTATGTGAAGTTTCCAATTATGTCCATAAGCCCAACAGCCGTTGCCAATACTCCTGTTACACATTTCCTACCAAAATAACTTTGTAAAGCCTGAAGCCAGTTTTAAAAGAAAACTGCAGCTCAGTATGTAGTTTCTAAGAATAACTAATTACAGACCAATTCACAACAAGCCTTTTATGTCTGCCCTTCTGGGGAAGGGGAGGGTTCCTCTCACCTTTTTGTATCATAGTCAATTAAAACGTAATTTTCCATAGCAAGCTTGAGATCTGGGATTTCTTCACAGACCCACCTGCAAGAATGAGACAAGAATCAGAATGCAACAGACACCCAAATCTTTTAGATGAGCATTTAACCAGGGCAGTTTTTATTTTTTACCAAAGCAGCAGTCTGCCTCAATTCTAGGCTGACTTTCTGATAAATTAAAGACAGTGCTACAAAAAGCATGAAAATACTTAAATATTGTAAAAAGCGAGATAGACATCACAGAATGCTATCTATGGAGCTCAAAGAGTTCTTACTATACACAAGAGTGATTATGAAGTAAAGTGCCCATTACCATTGGCAGTACTATAACGCTCTTGAAGAGGCATGAATTCAAATCTGAATTCACAATGAAGTGACAAATATACTTAGTTGGAGTAAAAATAAAAGCCACAGCTCGTGCTAATCTCGGAAACATGAAGCACAAGAACAATCTTTCTGAAATGCATTTATTTTTTAATAAGTTGCTACGAATGACCACTTCCTTTGACAAAGCTATTTCTTTTGACACATGTAGATGCAAGTCATCGCCTGCTACCTGATGTTTGAAACCATCCTCCGCATACATTAAACCTCCAAACCACTGGTGTTGGGGGGTGCTTTCTTCTTCTACCAGTACAGTGTACACCTCCCTGGTCCAGCACCCTTGGGACCTGAATGGCCCCAAACAAGTGAGTTTGCCGGACCAGGGGAGGTCAGTCTTGGGCTCTTCCCTCCGTCCCCAGCCCACACTCATCAACCTGGCCAGTGTGCTGCCTCTGCTCTGGCCAGGCTCCCTGTCTCAGGCCACTGGCCCTGAAGGCTGCCAGGCTGGCTGAGCTCACAGTCCCAGGCAAGCTATGTGGCTGGGGCTCTCTGGTCTGGATGGCAAGTCACTGGAGTCACAAAGTCTTTGTAAAGGGCTTTCCCTTCTAGTAATCAAACTGAGTGGAACCTAAGTATAGACCAAAATAAAGTGCTCTGTTGAATACTATCAGGAATAGGGATGTATATGCCTCGTTCCACGAGGCGTACAGCTAGTTCGGATTAGGAAACCGCGTGCACGCAGTCCGAACTAGCTGGCATTTAAAAATGGCAACGGCCGGCTTTATGCAAATGAAGCCCGGGAAATTCAAATCCCGGGCTTCATTTGCAACTCCGTATGACTACATTACCCCCCCTAGTTCGAACTAGGGGGGTAGTGTAGACATACCCTGGGCGATTAGTCAACTACCTGATAAGCATATGCTTATCAGGTAGTTGTCAAGTGACTCAACTAGTTACTTTCTCCCCCACCTTGCTGCCTCTATCAGAGAGAAGCAGCAAGGGGGAAGAGGGGAAGCTGGCTTAAAAGCCAATTCCCCTCAATACCATCTCTGTAAGGGGACAGAGGAGCCGATTCTTGGCTCATGCTCAGTTCCAGACACTGCTCCTCTGCTTCTTAAATGTATTAAGAGCCACATTTAAAAGGCAGAGCCGCAGAAGGCTTAGCTCCCGGGGCTCACCGCATTGTGGCTCTGCAGTTTCACCCTTTACCGACTAAACAACCAACACAACTTATCCTGCTCACAAAGGTGAGGTTCTTATGCCAAAATGGAAAACTCTTCTGCCAGCAGAGTCTTCACTACATGCCCTACTGTGGTAGATATAGACATACCCCATGTTAATAGATTTACTGAGAAAAATTCCAAGCTCTTCCCCCCCCATTTCTGTGTTGACTTCGCAATGGAATTAATAGTTGAAAAAACACACAACAAAAAAGAATAATATTTTAGACAAAGTTAGAAGACATGACTGCATGGATCAAGGAAGCAAAACTGTTGATTTAAAAGTACTCTTTCTGTAAAATCAATTTTCTCGCTTTACTGCGCTAAAAGGTGATCTGATTTTATTTTGAATAGGCTAAAATTGTACAAAATGTTCCACACAACGAAGAGGTGAGAGAAATATTTAGCATCCAAAATGACTTGAGAATGTTACGCCACTAATGCTCCTCACTGCTCTTTAGAATATTTAGTGCCTTACAGAAAGGCATAATGGTATTTGTGAACTACATGTCTTTATTCTTCTAATGAAAACTTAAAACCTCACTTTTTGATCTCTACAATCTTTTTTCCCCTTAAACTAGGCCAGTGTGCAGCAAACAACCGTTCATATCACAACTTTTCAAGCCAGTGGTCAGCTCTATATCCTCTCCCCTCACACCCCCACAGGACAGCTTACTAGCATAAGCTAAATGTATAAGCACTGTGGTTAATTTGGTACATAGATAAAACTGATAGTTACAAAGTACTTTAAGACCCTGAATGAACTACAAAAATCCCCATATTTTAATAAACCTGAGACACATGATTTCCTGACTGTGTTCCAGCACTGACTCTTCTTGCCATTAGCTGGTGTCAATATAGGGAGGCCTAGTACTTATGACTCTACAACTCGGGCAACCAGTTTCAGCAGCATCTCAGTTAAACCTACTCAGTGCAAATCTAACTGACATGCTGCTGAACACAGATGTCAGAGACCTTACTAGTGGCACTACCACTGAACTGCTGTTTTTAGACAAGGCCTTTGTGGATTAAAAAAAATAAATGTCAAGGAACAAGACTAAACCATGGTCCCCTAACAGGGATAACATTATTTTCAATTCACAATCACAAGAATATCTGTGTTTCACAAGAATAAGCTGTGTTTCACAAGAGCATTTTAAAAGTCATATGGACCAGCAATGCTATTGTAAGATCTCACCCCATGCTAACACCTCAGGTACCAAACTCTCACTGTAGGCAACCCAGGTGCAATACTGTTTACTAGGACCACGTGGACAGTCACATTGTATTCTCTCTCAACATTCTAGCTCAGGTGGAGGGGAGGCTTCCAGGGGGACACTATTCAGCTCTGACCAATAATGAGCTACAACAGAGTTGAGCTACAAATGAAAGCAAACTAAGGATATAAAATCCTGTTTAATTGGTAACTGGTTAAATGTGATTAAAGGGAGCCACTCTAGCCAGGTTGGGCTGGTGTGACCCTGCCATCCACTGCAGCTGGGCTGGAATGCCTCCCCAACCCTGCCACAGGGAGAAGCCCCTGTCTGCGACACACCTGGCTTGCCACAGATAGAGGCTGCTCTGGAATGGCAGGAGCAGCCCCTGTCCATGGTGGGTCCCACAGAGCTGGACCAGCTCCCTGCCTACAGGTGGGGAGCTGCTCCAGTTCCCACCAATTAATCAATACCAGTAAGCATCACCCATTAAAGATGATGCTTACCATTTAATGGGTTAACCTTTCACATGCCTAAAACACCGTGTAAGGTTGCTAACTTGTCCATTAAGCAAAGTTGTGAGACAAGTAAGCATGAAAACAATTTTAAAATATGACTAATGTATTTTCACACTCTATTGTGGATAAACAACAAACCCAGTTGTATTAAGGACTTACCCGGAAAGTTTTTTCCCCAATGCTGCCAAAACCACAGTGAGTATGAATTATTGCTGTGTCACTGCTATGCATGGCTGTAACGGTGCCTGAAAATGTTCAGCCCTCCGCCTTCTTGCAATAGTATTTCAGGCACAGCCTCCCACTGATGCAGTCCCACTAGCAGTAGGAATGCTCATGCAGGCATCGCTCCCAAGCATTTCAGTGTCAAAGGCGCTGCACAGTTTTAGCAACAGTGCGATATTTTGAAGGAAAAAAGTCAATAGTGTAAGTTTAAATTGGGCCAGAATCCAACAAGAGACAGTAGATGATGGTGAAGTTTTGTTCGCTAAGCTCCTAGTCTTATCCTTCCAATTTTAAAATCCTCATTATTAAAAAAAAAAAAAAATCCACCCTACAGTGTATTAGAGAGGTAAAAATGTGATGAACGATGTAATCACTGACAATTTCAGTTGGCTCCTACATACCCTCCCAGCACTGCTGCCTCTTGTTACAGAGGCAGCAGTGTGCGAGGGGAGGGGGAAGCAGACAGCACCCTGAGAGCCAGCGCATGTGGGGAGACGGCTTTTAAGTCAGTGCCCTGTACGTACCAGTTGCCACCTGCCCTCCTCACACTGTTGCCTCTGATACAGAGGTAGTAGCACAGGGAGGCAGGTGGCTCTTCAGAACCCAGTGCACGCCAGGAGCTGGCTTTTAACTCAGCTCCCCATACATACCAGCAGCCTACCAGGTCAGCCAGTCAATCAAGGCTCATCAGGTAACCGTGTATACCAGGGGTGGACAATAATTTGTAAAAGGGGGCCACTTCACAAATTTCTGAAATGGCCACGGACTGCCTTGGAAGGGGTGGGGCCTTGGGCAGAAGGGTTGGGGTTCCCTGTCCCCAGGCCTTGATTGGGCACCTGGGGGTGGAGGAGTGGCAGTGTGGCCATGGGCACAGAGTAATACCTATATGGAAGTAAAAGTTCTGTCGAGCTCTGCATTGAACACTTACCGAATTGTCTCAATGATTTCATGAGCAGCATCATGGTGTTTGTCCTGAAATTAAAAGAGAGGGGGTTTGAGAGAGAAAAGAAGCAGTTTCAGATATTTGGAGATCACCATTCATGTCAAAGATTACATGACTCAACCTTTTCAAGAAGATTAAGATTTACACATAGGCAAGAGTCCTTAATTGCTGCCAAACCCAGTTAAAACGTTCAAAATGTATGTCTTACGAGAAAACAAAGCTTTACACGCTTAAAAAAGTATGTTTCCTTGAGTTTCCACAGACCACTAAAAGGTTTTTACAAACTTTGCACTTAAGTCACGTGCACTTCTTGAAAAAAATAAATTTTGCAGTCAGTACCCTTAGGGATTATTGGTGTGAGGTGAGTGTTTGAATACAAGCTATATTACAAACAGCTGATTTCATCTACTTAGTATCTGGAACATGTTTACATCTCTGTATGTGGAATAGGACTGTAGATTAGCAAGTAAATTAGAAATAAAATAAACCATCAGCTAAACAATAAGAATATTAGTGATTAAAAACTGGGAATGCAAAACACCAGTTACTACAGGGCTGTGTCTAGACTGGCAAGTTTTCCGCAAAATCATCTGCTTTGCGGAAAAACTTGCCAGTTGTCTACACTGGCCGCTTGAATTTCTGCAAGAACACTGACGATCTCATGTAAGATCATCAGTGTTCTTGCGGAAATACTATGCTGCTCCCGTTCGGGCAAAAGCCCTCTTGAGCAAATCATTTGCGCAAGAGGGCCAGTGTAGACAGCTCAGGACTGTTTTGCGCAAAAAAGCCCCGATGGCGAAAATGGCGATCGGGGCTTTCTTGCACAAAACCGCATCTAGATTGGCACGGACGCTTTTCCGCAAAAAGTGCTTTTGCTCAAAAGCGTCTGTGCTAATCTAGATGCTCTTTTCCGCAAATGCTTTTAACGGAAAAACTTTTCCATTAAAAGCATTTGCAGAAAAACATGCCAGTCTAGACGTAGCTCAGGTCTTTCTATCACTATAAAACCCATTGAAATTGTCCATTACATTACACTCACGCAGAAGATCATGTGGCAGACAGGTTTTACTAGCATGTGTTTAGAACACATTACTCAGGTAAAGCCAAAAGTGAGTTCTGCAGGTCTCATCCCAAATGGGTGCCGTTAAAACAACTTCTGCCTAAGCCACATGTCAGAAAAGTCTATTTTAGGAAAAGTAGGGGGTTTTCTAACCATTTTACTGTATCCATCCTGCAAAGCCCAGAGACATAATCACCATGGGTATGTCTAGATTACATGCCTCTGCCGACAGAGGCATGTAAATTAGACTACCGGACAGTCAATGAAGCGGGGCTTTAAATATGGCTGCTGCGCATTTTTATTTTAATGAAGCGGGGGATATTTAAATCCCCACTTCATTGCCTATGTCGTGTAGTCTAATTTACATGCCTCTGTCGGCAGAGGTATGTAGTCTAGACATACCCCAGGAGTGCCACAGTGCAGGGCTCACAAAAAGACAGAGAAACCTCTACAAATAAAGTATCATGACTTTTAGTTTTAAAAAAGGACTTTCCAGAACAAAAAGCGAAGAGAGAGCCTCCAAGGTCTGAGTTTACCATGCTGGGCCTCAGGCAGGGTAATTTTTGAAGGGCCTGTAGGTAGGAAAGTCCACATTTGAGGAAAAGAGGAAACATTTAAATGCGGAAGATTTAAAAGATAGGGGATGTTTGAAATTTTAAAAAATTGTGTAAGGGCAGAATGCAGGCAAAGCAATCAAAGATGTAGGTCAGAACGCATTTGTGAGGCAGCAGTCACTTATACAGTACAGGTTGAACTTCTCTAGTCCGGCATCCTTGGGACCTAACCAATGCGGAAACCGAGAATTTGCCAAACCAGGGGAGGTCAATATTGTCTAGCAGCATTACCAACACCCCCACTGTTTAGTGGGCACTTAGAAGACATTTAGAGATAAATTAGACCTAAACTAAGAGCCCAGAACACAGAGCCAGGATTGGTGGCTGTAAACAAACTTTATGGGGCCATGGGAAAGTTGGCCACACCCATGGCAAGTGGGCATCTGGCTGATAAAAATCATGCCAGACAGATGTTGTATCAGAGTGTGCAGGACTAGAGAGGTTCAACTTGTGCGTGTATATATATATATATATATATATTATTTAGTCCTGCATGTGTATATATACAGGCTACGCTTGTACAAGCTTAATAGACCTTTACTGACTGCTGAATTCCCACAGCCAAATTTGGGTATTCATAGGTTTCCTACTATACATACCCAGTTTGAAATTCAGCTTTATAACATCAAGTCTTACTTTTAAAAAGCAATTTGAGGATGGGGCAAAGGACAACAAAACCCCATACCATGCAGCCTGCAAGCTGACAGAAAATATGTTAATGAGGTATTGCCTGGAATAGGAATCTCAGGAGAAAATGAAAGTGGCAAACATCTATTAACCTACCGCAGGGGTCTGCAACCTATGATTCAGTGTAGACTAAATATGGCTCTTTTGTCACTCCCAAAAATGCATGCAATTTTTTAAATTGAAATGAAAAATTAATTTAAAATTTTAAAAATATGTAATTACTCATGTAGCTTGGATGCATGCATGAACCTGAATTTGACCAGTTGTGATGTAAACTTCAAAGAAATGTGCGAAAAGATACAGCGGCCAAAGTTCCATTAAATCAAATCTTTGAGTACACCGTTTCATTTATGCTACTGATAACGGACATGATGATTAAAAATAATATTAAAATGTATATTTTCAGTCATCGGGCTCTTTGTTGACCACTTGTTCTGAATTTTGATGCAGTTTCACCTACTGACTCAAGTACAGATATGACAAGAGACTGCACTGTCTAGACTGCCAGAAAGGGATTTTATTTTTAGGATGCCAGAACTTCAGACTGTAACCATGAAGACTCAAGCTGTCTGGGATCAGTAGTCTTAGACTCAAGCCATGTCTACCTACACTTACAAGTTTACAGCCATATTATGCTGACAGGAGAGTGCTCTCCTCTCAACCTAATAAAACCAGTTCATGTTAATGGCAAAGCACGAGCGCTTATGCTAGCAAAACTTATCTCTCTCAAGGGTGTGTTTTTTTCACACCCTTAAACAAAAGTTTCGCTGACAGAAGTGAGAGTGTAGACATGGCCCCAGATGTGAAAATCCTTGACCTTTCCAGGGATAGCAGCCACAAAATACCTAAGGAAGGAAGGAAAAATTTAATAAAGGAAACTGGAAACCAAGTAATAAGATAACCAGAGAAGTTTAACACACTAACCACCATGGGACCCTCTTTGTATGCTCCATAATATGCCAAAGCTCCACACACAAAAATGCTCCTAGCACACATTTAGTTCAAACTTGCTCTAAGCAATGCTACCCATCACGTGATCTGCCACTGTACAGGTTGGACACCTCTGATCCAGCACCTGAGTGTCCCAGATGAGGGATTTTGACCTTCCATGGTCCGGCATTTAACCCCTCTCCCCCCGCCCCGCCCCCCCAAGACCAGCTCTGCTTCTGGCCTGCCCTCCCAGCCAGACCCCCACCTGCCACCAGCCCTGCCACAGCAGCCCCGCCAGCCATACTGCAGCAA